GGGTTCCGGCCATTGGGGGGTGCCGGTGGTGGAGGGTTTGGCCCCAACCACCAGGACCCGCCTCCTCTCTCGGGTCAGAAACGAGGCTTTTCTCGTGGAGGCTCTCCAGGTGCGTTGTTGTTTATTTGTTTGATATTTATTGTTAAAATTGCATGTTGCCTTTACGAGTCTCTAAACACTTTAGAAGTAGGTGAAAATGAAAATTATTTTTTACAGCGTTGGTGAAATTGGGTTGCATTAATATTCTGTTGTGCTTCAGCCAAGTTAATTACGTAATTTCAAGGTGCTTAATTCTTGGACGGATTGATGTCAATAGCAATTAATGTTTGATTTTGCCATAAATCTTGCTGCAAGTATGTTTTTATTTTTGGCTAATGGGTTGTAACCTCGTGTTTTGTGTACGCCGTATTTACTTTCTGCATTACTCATGAGTTTGAATACCTTTCAGATCGTTTTGGTAGAGGAAGTTTTGCTAAACTTTTTGTTGGATCAGTTCCCAGGACAACAACTGAGGAAGATGTAAGTCATTCTAATTTTTACAGTATACAAATGCCTGATATATGTTGATGTTGGACTTTTTATTATTAAGAAATGGTGCTACATCAACTTGAAACATTTACTTCATGGTGTTTATGTATGTTACTTTTACCTAATGTCAGATTCGCCCTTTGTTTGAAGAACATGGAGAAGTGATAGAGGTTGCTCTGATAAAAGATAGGAAAACAGGACAGCAGCAAGGTATGTGTGTGTGCTTATTTCTATGATATATTTGTGATCTGTAATATCTTATTTCAGGTACTCTGAGAGCCAGATGGGAGCAAGAGAAAGCTCATCTTTCATCTCAGTTTGTTTTTGCAACAAGTTTCACACTTGTTGGTTTTGCTTGCAACCCTTTTTTCATGTCCGTCCTCTCAAAGAAGAAGAAGGCAAGACATGTAAACCAACTAAAAACCAGTTTCCGAATAGCAGTTGGAATCTTGGAAGACACTTAGGTCCTGCCCTTCTGATAGCGGCTGCAGCAGTGGGGCCTCTGTTGCCATAACTTTAGATTGTTTATGTTAGGATGTTAAGAAGTGCTACTATTGTACAGAAAAATGACTCAAAAAATACATGGATTATTGCTTTTCAATAGTATTAATCACAATGTAATTTGGAGGATCTCTTTGGTCTGTTCTAATCTTGGTGAACACGGGAGTGGTTTGTTTGAATGACTTGGAATGCCACGTGTCACTTTATGAGATTGACTGAATGTGATAGATGTGAAGTTGGATGGTTAGTGAGAGATGGATGATTGTTGTGTGTGATGGTTTGCATGAGTTTGTTGGTTTTATGTCTTTCACTATCTGAGTTTTGGATATTATTGCGACGTGCTCGTGGATGGAAATTTCTGTATGGTGATTGTATGGCCCCCTCTTTGTTTACATGTTTAAGTAAGTAGGTAAGTCTGTTTTTGCTTGACTACGCTGCGGAACTAGCTCACTTTTTTCTGCTACACGGTCTCAGGATGGTTGTATTCAGGGCTAATGCTTCCTTTCTTTTAGAGCATAGACTCCGACTCGATTTAGATGTGTTATGTTGAAAATTTGACCCATTTGCCTCTTTGTGATGCTGATGTGCGACCATAAGGAAAATGTGATTGTGTGTTGTAACTGGTCCTCTTAATTGAGTGGTTGTGATATGTGAACTTACTAGGGAAAGTATTTTGATTGTCCTTGTGGATGTTTATATTAATTTGTCTTTGTTCGCAGTGCTTTCTTTTTCTGTGTAGAACTAAATGGAGACTTGAGGTATCTCAGTGTGAAGTTCAACTGAGTTGCTTAGGTTATGGAATTCCTTCTCAAGTAGGGGGTTTACTACGCCTGAGCTGATCTCGTGACCGATGATCTCATACGATAGGGGTCACTGACCAAGTATTTCGTATGTTTGAATCTTCGCCAGTCAGTAACCTCTATAATTTCCTCATAGCGGCTTCTCTGTTATGTTGAAGTTTTACTTCTCTCATATATTCGCAAGTGTCCAAAAACAAACTTGTGAAGATTTAGGCCCTGGAATATTGCACCAAATCTTGTACACTTTTCGATGCTATGGTTATTATAAGTCGAAAGTTTTTGTTTTCTGTTTATGTTATTTAAAGTGTGGGTGAATGCATGAGTATTTTGAATTTGCAAATTTCCAGCTATGTGAATGGGCATCAATCAGCCTTTTTTTTATTTTTTAGTTTTTATTTATGTGGTACTTCATGTCAAGATTTGCACTGGATATGTCAACTTATTGACAATGTGAAAATTTATCATGTATTTGGTGATGAATTTAGTCATGGTGCGTAGGCTGGCTGGTATATTTCTTTATTTAAGGTGTAGATGAACTCTCTTTCTGTGGGATTGGTGGTATGATTGAACAAAGCTTTTCTTCATGGTAAATAATGAGTTGTTTTTTCATACGATTATAGTTTTGCTGGAATGATCTTATCACCTTTTACTATTGCAAGGCGTATCTCCTTGTTGGCTTGTCTGAGAGATTTGACTGGTTACCTGACCTGGGAGGTTGGACTTAATCCAACATCATAGAAACAGGGCAATACTCAACTAGCTTTTATGCAAGTTTATTTGATGTAACATTTAATTTCAATAGTTCGGCTTCTGAAGATGATATATGTAGCCTCTAAGTTCCCCAGATGCTGCTTCATAATTGTAGGTATCATCACGATCCGTCATCGTATGGACACATGTGTATGTTGAGACCTGTGATTGATTGTTCTAAACTATTCCTAAGGAGAGTTCATGTCTTATTCTTTCTCGATGTGGTTTGTTGACGTGTTTCCGACCATGTCTGTTAGTTCATTGTAGTATTGTACACTAAGCAGCAGGGCCTTTACGTTGGTAAATGTTTCTGGTAGACTAAGCAGGGGCCAAGACATGGGTAGATAGTTTTCGGTAGACTAAGCAGGGGCCTTTACAGACTCTGCTTATAATGACTCAATAGAATGTTGTATAAGCATTGAAATTCACTTCTGAATTCAACTTTTTGCTGATTCGTTGAAATTTATTTAGATTTGACATGGTGGGTCTGATGAAAGTGCTTACTAGTGAGGCAGCCAAGCTAGTATGAGCTGGCATGTGTGGTTGGCTGTTTTTTCAGGGGATTTCTTTCTAGGGATGTTATGTAAAGTGATATGCACGGGATATATATTCATCTATCTCTGTGATCCACAAAACTGTTGAGAAATGGTGTATTTCAATGGAATATAGATATATTGGTTTGATGTGTATGTTTGTGATTTTATTCCAATTAGAGGCAAAGATCCTGAAATCAAGGTTGAATTTTTGCCTTATGTTTGGATGTTATGGTTTCTTTTGTCTCCTCAAGCTTCCTACTGTTATGAGCCAAATTTGGTATATGAGAAGCGTATGGAAAAATGTATGAAGCCTTGTGTTGTAGTTTTTCCATCTAGCTAATGCTCTCTCGGTTCAATCAATATGCCCTTGTGAATGAGCCAGCGACATTATTAAGATGGAAATCTTGTTTGCAGCCAAACCATGGAGTCCTTCCAAGTTTTGGGTTGTTGCTATATGTGTGGCTTAAGGTTATGGGTATTCAGAAGATTCTTCTAACAGATGCTCTCCCTTCTTGTGTTGTGCTCACACTAAGGAATACATAGAGTGTGATTTATTGTTTTACTTCTTAGTTGCTTCTTTTGAAATTGTTTGTTTTAATAGCTTATTACCTTGCAAATATAAGGTTTGACGTTTTTAATGTTAATTTTTTAATGGGAATTTATTGTGGATGTGAAAGCCTATCTGTGGAATTTTTATAAGGGTGTAAGTTGCATATGCAGGCTGTTGTTTTATAAAATATGCAACCTCAGAAGAAGCTGATAGGGCCATTAGAGCTCTGCATAATCAACATACCCTTCCTGGGGTGAGTTTTTATTTTTTACTGTTTCATTTTCAGTTCTGTTTTTAACTAACCTGTAGTTGTTTCACACACTTTGTTTTCCAGGGAGTAGGTCCTATCCAAGTCAGATATGCTGATGGGGAACGAGAACGCCTTGGTAATTGTCATCTTGGCATGAATGTTTGATTGTTCCATTGTATTCGCAAGTTTTATTCATGAAATATCTGTAACCTTTTTAGGCACTTATTTTTCCAAAAGATTAGATACACTATCTCAAATAGTGGTGTCATTTCTGAAAGAACATGATAAGTGAAAATGACCTCTTTCAACAGACAATGCTCATGTGCTTGATTTATTTTTCTGCTCTCATAAACCCCTACTTCCCTATAAGCGATCCTCAACTAATTATGTTAACTTCCATTTTATATTTTGTCAACTTGACCATAGTGTGTGAACAGGGCGGTATGCAGGAAATTTTGTATTTCATCTTTTTGTGTTTGCAAACACATGCATGTTCAATATTTTTTTGTTTTTTTGTTTTTTGTTTTATACAGTTTTTCCGTTTTTGATGTCATCCCTTTAATGATAGGTGCAGTTGAGTACAAATTGTTTGTGGGATCACTGAACAAACAAGCTACGGAAAAGGAAGTTGAGGAAGTATGTTGTACCCTAATTATCTGTAATCTTCTAGGATTAGTATTTTCCACCGTTCTTTTCTCATCTTGACACAAAATGAAGCTTTTCTCTTTACTTTATAACGAAAACTCATTTTCCCTTGGCATAAAGATATGTACTTTTTCTAATCCAGCGGAGAATAATGTGCTCTCAGCTTAATGCATATTACTTTTAACTTCTGTTTATTTTGGTATAGCGTAAGTGGTACTTATGGAAGTTGTAAATGCTATCAGAAAAAGAAAAAACCAATAGCTGATTTCTCTTTGCAGATTTTTTCACCATATGGTCGAGTTGAAGATGTTTACCTCATGCGTGATGAATTGAAGCAGAGTCGCGGTTTGTTTTCTAGTCCTATTTAATTTTTTAAACACAAAGAAAGTCCTCTATATTAGATATATACATCTTTGAATAAACTACAATTCATCTTTTAGGATGTGGATTTGTAAAGTACTCCCAAAGAGATATGGCGTTGGCAGCTATAAATGGTCTTAATGGGCGCTATACAATGAGAGTGAGTTTTTTATATTTTAAATCTATTTATTTCTATTGTTGCAAAATAACTTTAATATAATATTATGTTACAATTTTTTTCGTGTTATCAAAGGCTATTTAATTATATGAGACACATATGTTTCTTTTCCTGCGCCTCAGGGATGTGATCAACCACTCACTGTCCGGTTTGCTGATCCTAAAAGGCCTAGGTCTACAGATTCAAGGTTTACTCCTCTTCGTGGCTTCTTTTCTTAACCGTTGCCTGAAGGCTTCTACTATTTTCTCTGGTGACTGGTTAAATCTTCTTGAAGTGTAAATTTTGATGTTATTGTTTTGTTGGAGTGGTTTAATTGATTCTTTCATATATTCAGCATGTGCAAGTGTAGATTTTTGTACATCCTATCTATGTTGACTACCACACCACGCGGCCCCCCC